CTTTCCTTTCCTTTCCTTTCCTTTCCTTTCCTTTCCTTAAAAAAAAAAAAAAAAAAAAAAACACAAAAAAAGAAACACCATCTTTTCCTTTAATCTACACCTCACTAATCACTATTCTATGTATCACTATTCTAGTGATACAATCCCTATTATTTCACTATTATTTAAATTATGGTAATCCTGCATATAGTTTGCTTAAACTGGAAGCTGGATTCAAGCATCAAAACAATCCTTCCTGGGTCTTGCACCTAAGACCTAAAAATATTTTGTCTTTTGATCCAATGGTAACAAAATTTCCTAGGAGTAGGATAGGTGAAAAGTAGTGCCAGCAAGATATAGTCTTTCAGAGGGTAAACCAGTGAAACATGTCAGAACAGTCATCTGTTATCCAGAGGCCTTGAAATGAATATTGATTTTCACCTGGAAACCAAATTCTGCCTTTAGATTATATGTGTGCAACTGACTTATGTGGCCTTTGGGCTGAAATAAAAAAGGCAGTTGTGTTACAGCAGTGACTAAAAGGATCGTGGCCCTACTGCATTACACGCACAGATTTAGGCCAAAATATAATCATCAGCAAAGAAGTAGAAATTGAGCACTGATCTCCTGAATGGCAACCCATCAGCCCACCAAATAAGTGTACAATGTCCCAGTTTGATTTCTACTCCTTATCTTCATGGCAACACAATAAATGCCACTAAGAGGACAGGCTTTAATTGTCAGCCTTCAATGACAGATATAATTGCAAAATACTGGGATGATATACTGCATATGATGCATATAACCCAGAAAATACCTGAGTAAATAGTAACTAGTGGTAGCCATGCACTGGCAGAGTGTCAGTCTTAGCACCTGTCATCATGGCAATTTTCTTGCCATAACAGTAATTTCATTGATTCACCAGATTTAGGCTACTGGTATATAAGAATCTGATGTTTGGAAAACAGTGAAAGACTATTCATGTACTGGATATACATAGAATGAAAGATTAGGTCCAAGCTCTAACTAATTTTCAGTTTCTTAGTGGCAGTATAGGTGAGTGCAGCAGTAGAGAAATTAAGCAGCTTTTAAAAAAAGCTAAAACCATTGGCAGGAAACACCTTGAAGGACAGGCAGTGAGGTCCTTGCTCTTAAATTACTCTAACTCTCTTGATGATTTTATCCAATTAGCTTGCCTTTTTTACCTCACCGTGCACCAGTGAGCTGCAGTATTTTTTTATTAAAGTAATTACTCAACAGAGCAACTATTTAATTTCTGAACACGGATGTTAACAGGTGATTAATATAGCTAAATAAATAAATGTTGATCTTCTGAATCCCACTATTTTCTCCAAAAACACATCATCTAGGAACCTGGACCAGTTTAACATTATATATGGTAATATTTTCAATTTGTATACATCTTTAAGCAATCCCCGGATATTAACATTTTTACTTATAAATTTTGTGAAGTAGCAAAATAGAATTGTACTGACTTCAAATATAAATTACTCATAATAATATTGTTGCAGTAGTTAAAGCAACTATTATTTTTATAAGTGTCAAGAACCCAAGATATATTTGAAAGCAACATCAAGGTCAAGTACTTGGGCTTACTGAAGTACTTATACTTATTTATACTTATAAATAAAGTCAGCACAAATATGGGTAGAACAAATCTTCCAAAAGAACAGAAAACAAAACACTGCTTGTGCTTTGCACTGAACTCTTCCATTAGGCAGCCCAAACTCTCTCTTTTTAATCCTTTAGTAGTTTTGTTGCAGTTTTATTATAGATAATTTATGTCCCTACATTTTAAAGATCTCTGTTGGTTGGTACCATAGATGTTAATTTCTATCTCCTTAGAACACCTCTCTTTTATTTAACTACTTTTTTTTTTTTTTTTTTTAATAAGGCTTTTCAGCAATTTCCTTTTTCTGAGAGCCTTAAATATGTAAGGCCATTTGTTGATCTTTATCCTGTAGCTTTTATTTAGTTTAGTTTTATACTAAATAATTCTTCTGCCATAATCAGCTAGTTTCCATGATGGAGTAGTATATGAAGGATATGCTTGAATTCCACAGAGAAATGTGAGCAGATAGGGTATTTTCAAATGAAGATAGCAACTTAGCAAATAACAATGTAGTGTTGTCATTTTGATGTAAAAGGTAGCAGTCTGTTATTGTGATCAGTGTTATTTAAAGGCTGCTTTTAAATTAGTTTTACAGTCACAAATGTGTAAATATTTAATTTTTTTTTTCTAACTTAACATGAAACAGTTCCTTGACTGAAAACAGACATGTCTGAATTGAATGTACTTCTGTATAAAAAGAATGGTTTCTTTCACAGGAAAAACATAGCAAAAATAATGTATCCGATGTAACTCCAGTCTTGACAGATGTATATAAATCAAAGTTGAAATGTAGGGCTAGTTGTTGTCGCTAGAAACATAATGTAGAATCTGTGCCAAGATATATTATAAATTTAGCACAGTTTTGAATACAATACCCAAACTTGAGAAATTGTTCCAACCACATCTAGCACCTCTTTTAGAGTCCTCCCTGTTTTGCAGTGATGACTAACTTCAGCCACTGAACTTCAGCTATGACTGCTGAAATGAAGGTATCAGGGCCAAGTGTGCCCTTTGCACTATCACACTGGTATAAATACCAGAAACTGTACGTTGCATTCTTGGCCCACAACCCAAACTTTTACCAACATGTAGTCTTGCAGAAAATTAAAATGTATAGGGCCTATCCATTACTCCTCTGATAAAAAAAAAAAAAAAAGGGCATTGAGGTCAACATGGATTTCTTGTCCATTTCTCTATTTCTCTTTCTCATTCCCTACTCACTACTTGTATTCCCCTTTCATCAGCCCATATTGGTTTTCTGAAGTTTAGCAGAGACTTTGCATGAGCACAACCACCAATATCTGACCCCAGACAACAAATTAAATTAGCAGGGCAGATTAGCTGCTCTCAGATGAGTCACCTTCCACTTCCAGTAAGACTCTGCATCCAAACCTTGTAATAAGCCCACTGTCCAATAAGTAAATTATCTCAGTATGGTTTAGCTGCTGCTCATGTGATGGAGGAAAGAAAAGGGCAGCCTTTGTTAGAAGGATTCAGGTGAACACCCTGCTGCATTCCCAGCTGACACTGTTTTCTGCTTCTGCTGTGTCATGCCCCCATGGCCCCCATGGTTCAGTTCTCTGAACCCAGAGGAGAGCACAAATGAATGCTGTTCTAGTGAAGGACTGAAGAGGAGGAGGGAGAGCAGCTTTGTGCCTCTCCTGCTTCTCCTTTGCCGTCACTTTGTGCTCCAACCAGATGCAAAGTAAACCCTAAGCAGTTACATGTGCAGACTTAAAGATTACAAGACAGAAAGTGCATGGTCCCTTTTTTTCTCCTTCTATATATGGAACTCCCATTGGTTTTCATGGGTGTTCCCTCTATAGACTGACAAGCAACAGGTCAGAGGAGATGGAAAGGCTTTTTACCTGCCAACCCCAGAGTTCAGGATGTGTTGTTTCTCCTGCAGCAGTTGATGACACCATAACACCTTAGCAGCACTGGAGCTGCATTCCTACGCTGTAACAGGGGAAGCAGGACCAAGGGCCTGAACTAAGGTCTTGGCAGGTAAGTGGAGGAGCAACCAGCATCAAACAGCTTTGTTTGAGAGTGTATGTCTTTGTAATGTTTAAGTCTTAATATGTGCTCTGCTTTACATGCAAGTTTAAACTGCCAATTTTCAGAAGAGTAGTTGAGATCCCCTATTCACTCTACCAAATGCTTGAAAACATGTTGATGAAACTCATCAATGCAGAAGGGCTAGGAAGAAAGGCTATTTGTGCTAAAAATGTCTCAAAGTTGGGATTTCTTCTTAGAACTGAGTGGAAGTTACTACGATTAGTGGGGGAGGGAGACACTTATGCTATCAACATATATTTGCATACCTCCACTTGGAATGATTGAGAACATCATTTACAATGAATGTACAATGAATACTAAATTCAAAATATGAACTTTGTTGGGACTAGGGCGGGGGAATTTTTTGCTTTGTTGCTTGTTTTCCCTCAGTTGAATATGCAGGAAACACACAGTGAAGGGAAATTTCCATTTTCTATGTTTCACTTCATAAGCTTAATTATTGGAACCAGGTTTCTAATATGAATACTGATGTTATTTCAAAATTCACTTTATTTCAGAAGTTATCAGGGACTTTGTTTTTGCTGGCAGTACCATGGTCCAGAACACTCATAGAGAGCACACACAGGGGAAGCCACTACTACTGAACCAAATCCAATTAAAAAGACATTTACAGAATAGTGATGCAAGTTACCAGCTTGAAAGAAAAATCAAAAATAAAAAATCAAATAATAATGATAATAAATACAATTTAACTAGATCTTTACCTAAAGGAAGTTTTTATTTTCATTGCTTCTAGTAATGTGACTTTAATGGAGGCCTTTCTGTTCAGAGGTCAGTGACCTTAACTTTTTGGAATGAAAAAGAAATTTGGGTTAGAGGAGGAAATCATAAGCAGCAGCCACATGCTAAGATCTGTTTCCAAGCCATCTACTGCCACTATATCCTGGAGAAAAATGGGGATGTTCGTAAAGAATGAACAACCATCCAAAGCTGCTGGGGCACCAATACCTGATCAATGATTCAGATATTCTTATCCTCCTTATCCTTATTGTTACTAATATTATCCAAAATTTCCCAAGAGAAATCACTCCAACAGTGACCTCTAAGTTTTTGTCTGTCTTTCAGCTTGTAAATAAATAAATAAAAATCACATATGTTAATACCAACTGTTAATTAACATTCATCATTATTACAGGGAAAAAAAATGTTATAAAAAAATTTCTCTCCAAAATCTGAGTGTAAATTCTAGGGGCAAGAGTGAAAAATGAGATTTTACATACATCTATATCTTTTGAAAGTTTGCATTTCTGTAGTCATTGTTTTAAATTAACTTTCTCTAGACAAAATAAAGTGTTGTACTACATTGCAGCCTCACTGTTAGGAATGAAGATAGAGGAGACAATGCAGGAAGGCCAACACATACAACCAAAATGGAGAGCATCCAAGTCATAGAAGAATGGTAAGTTGGTCAAACTGTTGTCCAGTAAATGTTTTTTAATTTGACTGTAACTAATTTGTTTTGGTTTTGTAGGCTTCTGAAATATTCTTTTAATGACTTTTCCTCCTAAAATTTCTAGAAAAATGGAAGCAAAGTGAGGCCTGACATGAAATGCCAACAGAGACATTCAGGCTTACTTACAGTTTCACATTTGTCGGTAAAGAATGATGGGAAGAAATGGGAGGTGCAAGAATGGTTCCATGGATCTATGGGACTCTATAGGAAGTGTATGCTATTTGTGGGATCATTTTCTTCTGCTTACCCAGACAAGAAATAAAACTAACTTGGGCAAAAGTGTACTTTATAGTCAGATTTTTAACATGGCTACTTTTTGTAGAACAGCTTGGACTATGATTTCATCCGAATTAACCAAGGAAACACATACTCTGAAAGCTGGGCAAATATGCATTAAAAGTCTGAGCTTATGTTTGTGTCTGAAGGTTGGACCTGTATTTATTCTGTTGGGAAATATGCTAAACTATCAGTGGTCTTGACTTCTCTAATCCCATAAAAAGTAAATTAAAACTTAACTCTAGAGAATATGATCGATTTTAAAAGCAATCCAATCATCTCAGGCTATCCATTGCTACTCACAGTCATTTTTGAGACGTCAAAATCAAAAAATTTCCACAAGTTATAAGTAGTATATACTTCTTTGTTGTTGTTCTTACTGACAAAGAACATCTAGTGAATTGATTTGACAGATTTTCTTTTAGGTTTATAGGAGTATGGTTTAACTATTTATTTCCTTCAGTTACATTATGCTGAGCACCCCAGAATTCAAGTTACTTACAAAGAACTTACAGGAGCTCTCCATCACAACATATCTATGGTACTTTGTGACATCTCCATCTAGGATTATATGTTTCATAGGGTTTAACACTCAGCCTTGTAGCTTTGTCATGCAAAGAAAGAACAGAGTTTAGTCAGGGAGCTCAGCCTGCATGGCTGAGATCCTGTGTTCTCAACATCATTGTCTGTGGTAGGCAGAGGACAGGAAGCCTGAGAGGTCTGTCAGAGGAATATTAACAGAAAGTAAGGGTGTGGCTTCACAAAACAAGGACGTGGTTAATTCAAAACTATGAATTAACAGCTCCTTGCCTTTTGGGAGAAAGAGGCTTGCCACCCATGCCATCTCTCTGCTCCCTCCTCTTTTGCCTCCAGTTCTCCCCCCCCACAAACTACATTGAAGCTGGTATTCATCTGAGGTGCTTCAACTCAAGGAAAATGCACAGGGGTAGCAGGTAAAGAGATTACTTAGTTAAATATTAATTCCAAAATTTTTAATTCAGCTCAACCATGATATAAAAATGCATCCTACATAACTTAAGATCCTTCTGCAATCCAGTGGGGACAGTAACTCCAGATCACACTCAGAGCACCTGAATTTAGCCCATGGCAAAACATATTTTTGCATTCACTTGTAGTGAAACTTATGTCAGATAACATCCATCAGCTAAGGTTAGTATCTTGGTTTGTCTGAACTTGTATAATTCACAGGACAAGGTACTCTGTGAATCAAACTTCATTGCATGAGCTTGTTAGGTTTAAAAAAAAAAAAAAGGATCTCAGTAGCCTTTTAAGAGACTAGTCTAACTCATTAAGATTCTGATTCACAACTTCATTTATTCATGAATTCATTAACTCACAAATTCACCAGCTTTGCAAGTTCATCAACTCATGCATGACTTAGCAAAATAGCTACTTGGCTGATGGGGAGGGTGCTCACCTTTCCTGCCTCTTCCTAGGCACATCCTAGTTTCCACAGTTCAGTTGCTGATAGATCCATTCATTTGAAAGGCTTGTTGGGTAAACTGTCATGTTTATACCTCTTTCAGTCTACATCACCCACTAAATTAGTGGATTCTGCAGAAACTGCCAGACAGTTGCTGTTGCAAAAATGCAAGAGATGAGAGCCAAAGGTCACAATGGCTGCAGGATGGCCCTTGTCTCATTCTGTCTATCGTGTCCCCCACACATGATGCTTCCTTTTTAACTTAATGGTGCTTCTCCCACCATACATCAGGCCTTAGGATGTGCTGTATGTTAGGGCTACATCTGAGCAGGAAATGAGTGAATATCCAGAAGTTCAAATATTCCGTATAAGTATCAACCTTTTATTTCCTGGGAACAGGGAACATTCAGACACTGCCTCACTGCAGTGTATTGGTTGGTTTCAATGTCTACTAAATTCAAGGCTTCAAAAAGGGAGTTGTTCTTCTATTTCCCAATATCACGATGAGTTATTTAGACAGAAATGAGCCTTAGTTTATCAAACTGGAGATTCTGTACATAAATCTTTCCTTAAACTGATGTAGTGGTATAGTACAAGAGTATTCTTTACAAATCTCCTCAGGAAACTAGCATTTTGGAGAAGGAACAGGAAAGCAGTTTTTTAACGAAATGACATACAATATAGTGGAGAAAAAATATCTTTATAAGCAAAACCTTATCAAAATGGTCTTATTCTGTACTTTTCTTCATATTGTTTTTACTTCCAAGTGTAGTAAAGATGCTTTCCAAACACAAGTTGCTTGCCAGCTCCATCTACTTCAACAGGTTTGCTTCATTCTCCTCAGAGAGAGGATTTTTTAACTTTAAATCTGTATGTTTATAATTTTTGCTTCAGATTGCAACTATTTTGCTGGATAGTCAATGTTGAACACTTTCTCATTTATTAGATCTTAACTACCATGAATAGCTTCCTGTCATCCAGTCTGCCTTGCATACAGACTAGGAGTTGACAAACGGACTTGATATTCTTATGGACAAATGTCACTTATTGTGCAACATGATTGCACAGACACTGTTAACAACGTCCAGTAAAATTAACAACATCCAGTAAAACTCTTGCGTTGTATCCTATCAGGAAGGGGAGGATGAGCGCTCAGAGCTAAGTGTGAAACCACATTTTAATTGTTTTTAAGTAACTTGGAGTATGACCTTCTCAGGCTGTTGATTTGTACATTAGTGGATTAGTGACCCGAATTAGTCTTCTGTTCACTTATCCCATGCATCCGCTCTGCAAATAGCTTCTTTCAGAAAATGGGAATGGGGATTTTTTCCCATTTCTTCTCTCTTCAATTTTGCCAGAAACATTCATCACATCCCATGCCAATAGATCATCATTCAGGTCAATAGCACCAAACAGAGAGAAGCTTAGCAACCCTTAGGTACAAGCACAGAGAAATATGCTAATTTAAAAGCTCTCTGAATTACTATTTTGTTGGGGCTCATTAGTATGCTCTTGGCTGCCAAGAGCCTTTTGTTTTTCTTGTCCTTGCTGAACCAAATCGTGTGGCAGGCAGTGATTGGCCAAACCCTATCAGAAGCAGGCAGGGACATCAGGTGTCTTCCAAGCCCATCATGAAAAAGAACCTATTGTCAGCTGCCTCAATTCACATCTCCTTTAAATGCAGAAGCAGAAATTCAGTCCTGTTGCTGGAATTTTCTTTGAGTCTGATAGTGAACAATACCAGTAGAAACTTTGCAGAAAGCTAAGTGCACATCTCTTAATATTAAACATAGTTTAGTGGGCTATTGAGATAATGAATGCACAAGTGAAGAGTGAACGAAATTCTCTTGTCACTGCTAAAGCCTTGTTGCTTCCAGTTTTCACTCTGGACTAAAGTGCAATTGAAAGGAGAATTTTGGATGAATGTATGAAAACACTGTTACAAAAATAGAAGCATATTTGTAATGATACTTTGCTTTTGCAGCCAAAACCCTACTGCAGATGAAATTTTGTCTTGGGCTCAGAATTTTGACAAGATGATGAAAACACCAGCTGGGAGGAACCTTTTTAGAGAGTTTCTTCGAACAGAGTATAGTGAAGAGAACCTGCTTTTCTGGCTTGCATGTGAAGATCTAAAGAAGGAACAGAACAAGAAAGTTATTGAAGAAAAAGCAAGACTTATTTATGAAGATTACATTTCTATACTTTCACCAAAAGAGGTAAAGCTGTAAATGTTAGATTTGCATTTTCTGATGTTCCAGAGCAGATATGCTATACCCTGGGTTGCCAGAGGGAGGGTCAGAAAGTCTGCCTCATCTGTCAGATGAGAGCAATACTTATTATGGAAGTTTAGATCATGAAAGCAAGGGATAGAACAAGTGCTGACAGGTGCTGAGCCATTTACCATCACTGGCCACAACTCCTCAAAGCTCTCCATATGAGAGGAATAAAAGGGAAATTCCAGAAGCAGAAGGATGAGAAATGAGAATACTACTTTAACAATGCAGTATGTCTGCCAAAAACAAGAAATACATCATAGAAATGGATTTATGGAGAAATAGCACCAAAATTTTCAGTATCATATGACAAATAAAATACTCAATATTTAACAGGAAACAAATCAGTCATGAAACAGATTCACAGTTTGTGTCTTGTACAACATAAAGGAATTTAAATCATAATCAGAACAGATTTATCTGCTGCAACATCTGGCCGGGAAAAAAAAAGTAAAACTTGTTCTGGTTATTCCTATGTGGGATCAACTAGTCTAAGTTGATCTCTAAGGAGTGAGATCACATATTTTCTCTAATGAAAGGTATGATAACATCTAGGAAATTATATATAACTTCCTCCGATACTCAAACTGAAATGATCTTCACCTGAAGTTGAGTAAAAGCATCCCCTATCAAATCACAGTTTGGAATAATAAATAAATATACAGGCATTGTAGAAGAATTTCTTAGGCCATGTCGTGTACCTTTAGCAACTCTGCCTTGTCTTACATCTGACTTTCTCTTCAAAGGCATTATGCTAATTTATGCTCACTTGTGGACTTGGCTTGCTACATTTTACCTTTTAGTAATAAATTGAAAATTCATTACTATGAAGGGAGCGACCAGCCATTTATAACTCCATTCCCTTCTCTTGTGATACCATGTGTGTTTTGGCTTTGGAATGAGACAACTACCAGTATAGCAAGCAAATAATGTGCATTCCTGATCATATATATGTGTCTCTAGTACACATATATGTACTACTAAACACTCAGTTTTCTTTCTAAGCCACCATGAAGCAGCAGATACAATTTAAACACTAAAGTAGTTTTGCTTGACTTAAGGTTTAAAAAAAACTGCTCACAAACTTCATCCTCTGCATGTGTGAGGATGTCATCATCCCAATTGCTACTTATTTGCTCCATGAGGCAAATAAGAAGAGTTTGCAATGCTTTAGATCAGTATAGGAGCTTTAAAGTTCTTGTTCATCACAGCATCCCTTCCAGATGAAACCTTTTGACATAGGAACTGAAAGGAGGACTTTGACATAGGAACTTGCTCAGTGATGAAGTCATTGAGGCAGAAAGTCCTAGTGTACTAAACAAATACCTTGTGTACATCTGTTTACCAAGGAGATAACTTTAATAATTGCAACTACTCTTGCCATCTGGCTCTAGTGAGTCACAGAAAAACTACAATGTGAATTAACAGATTCCTAATTAATTTTTGTTTCACTCTATAACTGCAATTAACTTTTACAATATTCAATGGCAAAATGACACCACCATTCTGCCAAATTTGAGCTTTTTTGTCCCAGCCCTTTTATTTGGTAATGAGGAGTCAATTAGCTAGCTGCATAAACTGGTCTTGCTAAAATAAGTGCCTGTGTGTGCACATGTGTGTGTGTCATGCGGGGAGCAATTGCTTCAATCTTAGCATGTCATTTCCATGCTACAGATAGGCATTGGTCTAGGATTTAAAATTATTTTAATAAACTCCTAAGACAAGGCTGCGACACTGCTGCTCAGAACTACATAAGCTATACCCCCACATGCTGTTGTGTCTCAAAGCATTTAATCAGAGTAACCCCTCCAGCTTGTTAAGCTTGGCCACATAGCCCAGCGTGCCTGCCCGTTCATCCGTATGTCAGTTAGGCACCAAAGTCAATCTAAAAAATACCTGGGTGAGAAATTGCCTGGAAGACAATGTGTCACCTTCAGAAGCTAAAGCTGAAGCTCCCTAACAACTTCAATATGGTCACATGATAGCCCGAAAGTATAAATTACCAGATATTAACAGGTCTTGAAGAGAAAAATGAATCAGAATAGGAAATGTTGAATGGGAACTTTCTAAAGATCCAACCACAAATTATAAAAGAAAAAAAAAAAAAACACCTTTGTGAGAAATATTTCTAAATATGTAAAAAGATAAAACATTTTAAGATATAATAACATATTTTGGGAGATCCAGGTTACTACAGAGCTTTATTTAGCAGCACTGTATTCTGTTAAAGAGAGGAATTTAATTTTACAGCTCTTAATATGGACGAAAAGAACAGGTCAGAACCAAAATTGAGTTAGTTGTCTGACTTTGTAGTTGTGTGTGGTCATTTTAGAATGATGGCTGTGAAAGACAAACAGCATAACTTGAATAAACTATGAAACTGATAACCTCTGCGTGTTCTGTGCAGCCCTATGCAATGATGAGATGTATACATCCTTTCCAGCGTTATTGTTTAATATCAGTCTATTCTCACTCTTCAGGTTAGTCTTGATTCCCGGGTGAGAGAAGTGATCAACAGAAACTTGCTGGATCCCAGTCCTCATATGTATGAAGATGCCCAACTCCAGATATACACCCTAATGCACAGAGACTCTTTTCCAAGGTTTTTGAACTCTCAAATTTATAAGTCTCTTGTTGAAAGTATTACAGGCTCTACTTCTGAAACTTAGTTTTAATTTTCAAATAAAATTACTTGATTTTTTTTGGGTGGGCGGGATGGAAGAAAAGTAGTTTAATAACATCTGGAGCTGGGTTCCTGGAGAACTACAGTTTAGCTCTACTCAGGCTACTGTGAAGAAACAAATACATATTATGGTCTATGTCTACATTTTTACCAAGGTCCTCCTTGCTTGAGATGGCATGGGAGGGGAACAATGGATTTGCCAAAATACATTTGTTTCACACTCCTTTCACCCAACTGCAGTCAAGATTGCAATGATGTATTTGTAGTTTTATGAACAGTCTCCTTGTGTATCCTCACACTGCATGTGCAAGGTAAAACTGCTTCACTTACCACTTAGTTGTTGCAATATTTAATCCAATAACATAAATTATATCTGTATTTAAGAACTTTTTGTGCAATACAGTCTAATGGTACATAGAAACAACTGCAGCAAACCAGAAAGAGGCTTGCATTTTTTAACATCACTAACTGAAAAAAGCCAATTTTTAAGGTGTAGCATTACTCAATATGCTCTACTGAGTACAATACACTGACTTTTTGAAGCCAATATTTCTGTACAGACAAAAAAAAAAAAAAAAAAAAAAAGGCTATTCACTGTTATTTCCAATTGCTCAAGCG